TTATGCCAAAAAAAATATTATTTTTATTTTTTAACAAATTTATTTTTTATAATTAAAATAAAATGACAAAATTAGTGTTTAACTAATGCTTGGAGGTTAGCATATAAATAGATAGATATAGATATAAACATAGATAGACTATTAATCTATGAAATTTTTACATTTTAATTTTTTTTTTGTAAATTTTATTGGTTGTTAATTCAATAGTCAAATAATTTTTACCTTCTACTTTTATTATAGATTTTTTAATCTTTTTTTTTAGGTACATTACTTAATCAAATTCGTAATGTCTAAAAATTGAAGTGAAAAAATAGCAATTATTATTTTAATAAAAAAAATCAAATTATTGTTATTCTTAACATGGAAGATCTAAATAAAGTATTATAAAATAAGGAAAAGCATTTGATGATTCTTCTTCCTTTTTTGTTTTTAGTTACATAAGTCTTTACCAACTCTTTCTTCTTTAATTACTTAACCTGAATTTTGTTTCATAGTTTTTATTTCTTATCCCTTCTCCCATTTTCAATTTCTTGTCATTTTTTTCAGTTTCTATTTTATTCCTTAATTTGTATTACAAATTATTTTGATATGTTAATATAAGTGTTAAAATCAAAGTTACAAAAAGAAAGTGATTTAAATGATATTTTAGTGCAATTAAATGCAAATTCCTAATTATATATGACAGTAATATTGGAAGCATATGAGATTTTAGAAGGAATGTGAGGTAGAATTTATATTTAAAAGATTAAAAAAGTTACTAGTAATATAATATAAACAAAATCTGAAAATATCTTCTCACTAAAAAAACAAAGAAATGCAATATCTTGATTTGACTTGATCTCCATCCAATTCATGTCTTTCTTGTTCAATTTAATGTATGAATCAATATTATTATTGCTTTAATTAACTCTCATCTCATGAGTAAAAGTTCTCTCCTTAGTACACAGAAAAAGAAAAAAAAATCCATTAATAATCTAGAAAGAAATGAATGCATAAATTTCAAGTAGATAAAGTAAAGAAATTCTTTCCAAAGAACAACTATCATTTGTCTAAAATATTCATAAAAAAGAACAATAAGATTGGAAAAATAGTTCATTTAACAATATATATTTTGGACAAAGAGGAAAAAGGCACACGAGAATAAAATATAATATTCTGTTTAATTACAATATGAAATAGGAAACAAAAAAAAGAAAAAAAAATATTTGGAGTTTACCATGCTAGCAAAAAGAAAATGTAGAGATAAAGAGGAAAATATGATATATTGGTTTAGAGAAAAATTACTTAAAGCTTGTATATAGATGAGTAGGAAGATTGAAGGTGTTGGAGAAAGATCGAGGAAAAGGGATATCTAAGAAATCTAACCATAAAGGCCAGAAAAGAGAAAAGAGATGAAGGTAATCGTTGAGTTTATAAATTAATTTAACTATATAATTGTAATTTATTAAATTGAAAATAAAAGGTCTCAAAACAAAATATATAGATAAATATATATATATATAGATGTAGATATAGAGATTAATTAAGAATAAAATATATAATTGAATGTTCTTTTAACTTCACCTCACCTTTTCAACTTCATATATTTAATATTAAATGAGGAAATATTTTTAATTAATTAAGGCATTATAAGCCCTTAATTTTCATTAATATGAAATTCATTTTGTGTATTTTTTATTTTCAAGTA